GGGGGGGCGGGAGCAGCGCGGGCCCTGAACTGCCAGCGTGAGTGACACCTACTCTCAGCCTTTTTGTTGACCCTTTGCATCACACCATCACAACTGTCATCCGCGATCCACGTTTCGGACGATGAAGCTGCCTCGCATTCTGCTTCTGGCGAGCGTGCTGCTGCTGGCGCTGTTCACGCTGAGCGCTTCGGCTGCTACGCACTGGGACAAGGACGACCACGAGATCTTTGAGCTCCAGTCGGCGCTCGAGCGGTCCGAGGGCAAAGGGGCCACGTTCTACTCTGTCCTCAACATCCCGCGCACCGCCTCGGCCGCGGACATCAAGCGAGCCTACCGCAAGAAGTCGGTTGAGCTTCATCCGGACAAGAATGCCGGTGTGGCGGGGGCACAGCAGCGATTCGAACGCCTCGGACTCGTCTACAAGATCCTGCGCGACGGACGCAAGGATCGCTACGACCACTTTGTCGCCGCCGGCTTTCCCAAGTGGCGCAACAATGGATACTTCTACGAGCGCTACCGTCCCGGTCTGGGCGCTGTTATCGTCGGCGTGGTCTTGGCGACGATGCTCGTCGAGGTGGCCATTTCGAGCTTGACGACCAAGCAGGAACGTGCCAAGATCGAGCGTCTCAAGATGTCGGCAAGGCTCGTGGCATGGGGTCCACGATATGCAGCGATTCTTGCGTCGATTCGACATCCACCCACCCCGCCCGCGACCGTGTCAAAGCTGGCTACGGCCGAGAAGAAGGTTCGCGTGCCCATCACCGGGTTCTCTCTGCCGGCTTTCCCCTCGGATGCGCAGATTAAGAGCAATGCTGTGGATTGGGACGCACTTGAGACACAGACGCGCAACGTGCTGGTCAGTACCTCGGGCGATGGCGCACCCATCGTCGACTGCCTCGTACACGGCGCCGATGTGCTACTGCTCGACAAGTTCTCGGGAGACTACATTGCGCTCGATGAGGAAGATGCCCAGCCGGCTCAGTTTCACACCACCTGGCCCTTTAGACTCGTCGCCGCACTGGCCAACAAGGTGACCGGAAAGCACGAGGATGTGCTCACCGAGGTCGACGAGACATCCCAACAACCCGCCAAAACCAACAAAAAGAACAAGTAGATCCCCGCGTCAAGCTCATCTAGAACATGCAAAACACACACACATTGCATCCAATCGATTGTGGGAGAAAAGGCAGATGAGATGATGTATCGTCGTGAGAGACAGCGCCAGGGGATGTGGGCGATTACTGTTCGTCCGAGTCCGAATCGGACATATCAATCTCGGGCATTTCGTCGTCATCGTCGTCTTCGGACGCAGCCCCAATCTGCACTGTTGGCTTGGCAGTTTCGGCCGGCTGTGCTTCTTGCACTGCTCCCACCGTGGGCTCTTCCGCTACAAGGGTGGTGGTCGAGGCGATGGCAGTGGGAGAGACCATGCGTCCGGGCGTAAGCATGCTGGGTGCCGGCTGGTCGGGCGTGGGCGAGGCGGGACGCGAGAGTGCGCGCGGGTGCGACGTCGACGGACTCCCAATGCGCGGCGTGCTCGTCCGGTGGATAGGCTTGACCGGATCGGGCGAAAAGATGCGCTTCTCCACCGGCGATCGCAACGGCGAACCAGGTCGTCCCAATCCCAACGCTCCACCCGCCACACTCGTACTGGCATCCGCACCACCCGCCTGAAACAGCTCGTTCGACTCGGCTGCAATAGCGTCCACATCCATCCTATCCCCCACCACCACCTCCTCCTCCTCTTGTTCTACTTGGCGCTTGCCAAGCACAGCTGTCGATGCTTCTTCCAGCGAACTTTCCACCGATTCGGCGGCGGGGATGGAGCGACCGAGGGCTGTAGCACCGGCCAGTTTGGCACCGTCAGGGATGGCGTCCAGATCGTCGGCCGCACGAGGGCCGAAGCCAACCCCACGCGCAACAGGGACAAATTTACCCTTTCTGCTCGCATGCACTGCCACCAGCGCCCGTTGCGCCGCCACCCGCACGCGGCCACTGCAGCCGCTAGGCGCATTCGCCACGCGCCCCAACACCGCAATCGCACGCGGCAGCACCATGGCCAACACACTCGACGTCGAGTCCAGACACATATCCCCCAACGCACCCACCGCCTCCTCGAACAACTCGGCCGTGCTAGGGATTCCAGCCCCCGCACTCGCGGCACGCAAGCTCGATGAATGCGTGCCGATCGAGTCGGAAAGCACCTCGACCATCGCCTGCACATTGTGCACCGCCAGCTGCATCAGGTCGTAGTGCACCGAGCTCAGGCTCGTCGTCAGCAGCGGATACACGGCCACCAGGATGTGCAGCGCCGCAATGGTACACGCCACCTCCTCAGGCGCCAAGCTGTGCATGCGGTCCTTGGCCGAGCCGCTCGTGAAGAGCGAGTCCGACTCGTAGAGGCGCGCCTTCTTGGCGCTGCGTGCTGCGTCGCCCGATGCGCCAGCGGGCTGCAACACGGCGCGCGCGATCTGGGTGACGGCGAGACGCGCAAGCCGCAGCGTCGTCCTACCCGCCGGATCGAGCGGGAGCGCAATCCCCTGTCGCCCAACGAGCACGACGAGCGTGCGCATCGCCGCCAGCCTCACGCGCGCGCTGGCCTGCGCTCCGCCACCACCCTCCGCAAGCCGACACACGTCGCCGAGCAGTCGAGCGGCCTCGAGCGGGATAGCTGCGGGGGCGACGAGTGCGAGCTGCGAGACGAGCGCGAGGGCGCGCGTGTGCAGCGCGGCGAGATGCGAGGCCTGCAGCGTACACAGCTTTGCTTCCGCCGTCGGCTTGAATCGGCTCGACACATCTACGTGCAGCATGTCCAGACACAGCGACACGATCTTTCCCGCGGGTACAGGCACTGGACGAGCCGTCGCTGCACGCAGGTGCAGGCTGATCAGCCCCGGACGGCCGCGCGTGCCGAGCAGCAGCGCGAGACACTCGTGTGCAACGCGCGTCGCAGCCAGCGGATCCTTCGGATACGCCTTGAGCGACTGTGGCCTCGCAGCTCCCGCGTTGCTCTCGCCCTGCTGAGCCGCTTCCGTGGCCTGGTAGCTCGACGTGGCGAACCGCCAGGCTTCGGTGGCGAGGTGCAGCTGGTTCTCGATCGTCGCTTGCCAGAGCTGCGCCTGCGTGGTGCGTGCATTCCCGCCGGATGCTTCGCTCCCCTTGGCCGAGAGCGCTCCCGTAAGATGCAGCGATGCGAGCACCTCGGCGGCGGCGGTGAAGATCGGTACCGCAAGACTTTGTGCATCGTCTGCGTACAGCAGCGAGGAGATGCACTCGTGGATGCGCGCCGAGACGGGTCGGAACTGCGCCGGATGCGCGTGCATAAGGCGGTTGATAAAGACCAATACGACATGCAACTGCGACGCATGCGCAATCTGTCCATCGTCCGATACGCGCTTCAGGATGAAGTCGAGCAGCTGAGCCAGTCCAACGACGAGCTTGGGCAGGTTCGGATGCACGACCTGGCGGTAGAACTCCTGCCTAGCCGCGATGTTTTCGGGAAAGATGTGGGTGGTTGCGAACTGAAGCGCGGCCGCCAGAAGGCGATCCGAGTTCGCGCGCTGATGCAGCAGCTTTTCCGGCGCGCCGATGAGGTTGAGGATCTGCGTGGTCCAGGTAGCCGCGTTTGCGATGAGGTGCTCGTTCCACACCGCGGGGTCCTGCTGGATCCACGCGTGCGCAAGACGGTAGCCGAGCGCATTCTGCGAAGAGATGAGTGCGTTGATGCGGACGGTGAGCTTGTGCTGTGTCTCGTCGTGCGGCACCTGCGCCAGCAGACCGGACTGTGCGATGAGCCGGAGTACCTCGTCCGCTTGCGATGCGTCCGAGGACGACGTGACGAGGTTGAGGAGGAGATCGAGGCGCGCTGGAGTGCGTGCGGCTCCGGGCAACTCAAAGACTGCGGCGCCGACTACGACGCGGCCAGCGGCTCCATACGTGGAAGCCATGGTAGGCATGCCGATCGGAGGCGAAGATGGTGGAGAAAGGAGGAGTGGAAGCGGTTCAGTTGGGCCTTCTCATCAGAAGACTTTCTCGCCGCAAAAAATCCAAAATCCGAGCCCTCGAAATCTCGGAAGTCGGCACCGACGCGGCTCTCTTCAGCAGAAGCCAAAAGCCCAGCTGGACCCGCACGGACGCTCCTGACGCCAGCAAAGGCGCACCGCACCCACATCTCTTCCCATCACCATATCCATCTTGCTCCTGCCATTCTGCTTCTCTCTTCCAAGCTAAGCTAGCTCGTACTCGTACTCGTACCTCAATAAAGAGAGAGGGCTAGATCCATCAGTTTGAGTCTGACCGCCATGCTCCGCCTTGCCTCCATGCATTCGTGAAGCAAGCAACTTCACAGCATCGGCGCATTGCCAACAAGACCCCGTGCATCGGCCCGTAGACCATGTCCGGCTACAATGTCACGCCGCCTCAAGCGCGGCCGGTGAGGTCGCGTCCGCTGGCGTCGCCTTCCTCGGCTGCTCCCCTCCATCGAGCCGCCTCGTCCTCCGCCCGCCCCTACTACGACGCGGTCGTCTCGGACCTCTGCACGCTCGAGACGTTCCAGACCAACTTCAACACCAACGACTTCATCGCGCAGCTCACCTCCAAGCTCGTCCAGCGCTCCAAGGCCGATCCCGGTCCGTTCAATCCCCGCCCGTTCATCCGCACCTTCGAGTCGGCACTCGAGCAGCTCGTCCAGATCCGCTCGCAGGTCGACGCCCAAGCGCAGCAGCTCTCTTCGTCCGTCCATGTGGCCGAGTCGGCCTACACAAAAAAGCTCGACGAGCTCGGCAAGAATTTCGCAGCCGTGGGGAACTCGTTCAACAGCCTCGAGGACCGCATCTCGGAGGTGGGCAGAACCGCCATCCGGATCGGCGAGCAGCTCGAGACGATCGACAAGCAGCGCAACCGCGCGAGCGAAGCGCACGACCTCATCGAGTTCTACTACATGTTTGCCCGCGGCGACACGTCCAAGCTCGAGCGTCTGCGCAAGGAGGGCGGACGCGAGGGCAGGATGAAGACCGCCGTGATCGCGCGCCGGCTCGCCGCGATCAGCCGCGAAGTGGACGTGGCCGGCAGCGAGCAGACGCGCGACGCCATCGACCGCTACTGCGAGCGCTTCGAGCGCGACATGCTCAAGCTCTTTGACAAGTTCTACCGCCGCTCCGACCCCAAGATGATGTCGCACATCGCCAAGGTGCTCCAGGGCTTCAACGGCGGTGCGAGCTGCGTGCAGATCTACGTCAACCAGCACGACTTTTTCATCTCCAAGGACCGCGTGGGCGAGGCCAACAGCATCGAGCTCAGCGATATCTGGACGCACATGGCCGACCCGGATCGGCCACCGCCGCAGTCGGAACCGTCGCTCTCGGCGCTCCTTGACGAAATTCGACAGACAGTCGAGATCGAGGCGCAGATCATATCCGCCGTGTTTCCCAACCCACTCGTCGTCATGCAGACCTTCCTGCAGCGCGTCTTTGCACAGTCCGTCCAGGCGTTCGTCGAGGTGATCATGGAAAAGGCCATGCAGATCCACGCACCGCGCTTCGTCGGCGCAGGCGGCACGATCGATGCCAAGACCTCGGCCATCGAACCCAACGCCGCACAGCCGGGCAGTGGGCCCACCACGTCGCACTTGGCCTTCCTACGCGCCCTGCACATGGCGAGATCCGGTGCGCTGAGTCTGGTCAACGACCTGAAGCTGTACGACTATCGCGGCGCGGGCATCATTGCACCTTCGAGCGCCGCCGGCACCAACGGAGCCGGAGGCCACGCCGGCGCCGACGGTGCCATCTCGGACTCGATGATGCTGCTCGGCGGCGACGCTGTGGCGGCTGCGGGGCAGCTCGCCGGTGCGGCGGCGAGCCCGCTCGCGGCCATGCTGGACCAGGCGGTGGAGGAGCTGTTTGTGCCGTACATGGAGGGCATCCGCTACATCGACAGAGAATCGCGCAGCTTGGCAGATTTGTACGCCGGTCTGCTGTCCAGATTCATCAGCGTGCACCGTGCGGCGGCCACGGCAAAGAAGGACAAGGGCTTCGCCGGCGCGGGCAACACCATCTTCAACCGCATGCGCAACCAGATCTCGGCCAACCCGGACGCGTCGTCGTCCACCTCGAGCTTTGGATCGGCGTCGACGGCGGCGACTGCCAACACGGCGGCCACCTCGGCGGCGTCGACGTCCAAGACGTCGTTCTTCAAGCTGTCGAATCTTGCCGACCGCGTGCGCGGCACGCATACGGCCGGGGCTGCGGCTGGGGCTGGGGCTGGGGCTGCGACGACGACGACGGGGCAGAGCGGTGCCACTGCCATGTCGGCCGAACCGAGCCAGGACGGAAGCATGACTGCGAGCCGAGCGAGCATCGAGGACGAGATGGAGGATGGCGATGGCGAGCTGTCTCTCGATGTGGCTGAAAAGATGCTTCGCTGGCACGCCGAGTCGATCGGGCGATGTGTGGATCTCAGCTCTGCGTCCGAAGTGCCGAAAGCGACATTTGGGCTGCTGCGCGTCCTCAGCTCCGCTTACATCAAGACGTACATCGAGACGGCGCTCGATTCTGCGTTGGCCGCCGTATCTGCGCAAGACATTCGAGGCGCGACACTGCCGGATGTGTCGTCGGCGCTGTCGGTGGTTCGATCGGTGGAGCAGGTCGTGTCGCTGTGGCAGCACTATGTCAATACGGCGCTTGTGCCGCTGGCGAGTACGAGTGTGACGGTGCGACGCGAGATGGTCATCTTCAACAACCACAATCTGCTGCGCGTGGAGGGCAAGTGCGATGCGCTCATGCACAGGGTGGCGGACAACGTGGTGGGCTTCCTGGCGAATCGACTGGCGACGCAGAAGAAGAACGACTTTGTGCCCAAGAACGACGATCTGGCATTTGCCAGGCAGAACACCGAGGCGTGCGTGGCGTGTTCAGAGGCGCTGGAAAAGGTCGAGCACGCAGCGCGCATGCATCTGTCGCCATCTTCACGGCTGACCGCTTCGACGAGTGGCGCACTGCGCGCATCGCCCGCAATGGCCAATCGCACTGGACGCGGTATTGGATCTACCGACAGCGGTGAGGCCAAGCGGGTTAGCTGGAGCCGGGTTGACGAGGAGGGAGAGGACGAATTGCAACACAGCCACCTGTCGCGCAATGCCGAGACACTGCTGACGGAGATTGGGGTTGCATTCCACGGTTTGCTGCTGGACCACCTTCGCAAGTACACGGTCAGTGCCGCAGGTGGTATCATGCTTACAAAAGACCTGGCTTTGTATCAAGAAGCGATCGGAACGTTTGGAATCGGCGTGGTATCGGATCGATTCGAAATGCTACGACAGCTGGGCAACTTGTTCATCGTACAGGCGTCGGTGCTCAAGTCGTACATGCGCGAAGGCCACCTGGCCAAAATCGACGAACGCTTGCTCAGGCCATACTTGCTGCGTAGGGCCGACTATGCGCGCGAAGTCAGGGATCTCGATGATGGACCGGCACCCTCAACTCCCACCAGTGCATCGCCACTGTTTGCACAAAGTGCGCAGGGGAGAGACCTGTTCAGCCATATCCCTGCATTGATCTCCAACCAGGCACCAGCAAAGCAAGGTACAGCAAAGACGCCCGAAGAACAAAGACTCCATAGACTCGCAGAGGTACTGGCACAGCTCGAGCATCATACACTCGCTGCTTCCAAACCGACCCAATCCAGCGCAGACCCCGTAGCATCCACTAGCAAGTAACAACCCCCACTCCGGCCATTGCACTTGCACAATACCACTTCATCTCCTGCTTGCCACGTGGGTCGATGTGGTTTTCGCAACAGGCAGCCTTCTGCATCCGTGACATGAAAACAAATGCACTAAAATGAAGTCGAAGAGGGGAAATGTGCTTGGGGTATAATCTAGGCCAAGATGGACGATCTAGACGTCGAGAGCACCTTTGGCTGACCGTTTTGCGCATTGACCTGCTTGACGCTGAATGCATAGTTGGGTCGGCTGTCCCTAACATCCTCGGGGTCGTTGCACGTGATAGTGACTTGCTTGACCATATTGATGAATCGGCCGTTGGGCGCTTTGTTCCAGTCGATCAGACCGCCTGCCCAGTCGACGGTGCCCTGTTGGAAGGTGCCATCGCCGGCACCCCAGATGCTCAGCTGCAGACGCATGGGCGAGGACGGGTAGTGGTAGAGGCCGTCTTTGGCGTTGAGCGTGTTCTTGCGGTACAGCGTGCGCACGACGGTACCGTCGATCAGCCATCGAAGACGGTTGGGCGACCAGTCGATCGTGTACGTGTGCCAGTCATTGGCGCTGAAGCGCGGCTTGGAGATCGTGTTGAGGACAGAGCCTGGGACGGTGTAGCCGTGTGTGTAGCCTTCTGGCTGTCCTGTCCAGAACCAATTGCTCTGAATGTCTTGGTCCGAGGAAGTCGTGAACTCCCAGTCTATCTCGTCTTTCGTCCCGCTCATGCCGATAAAGGTGTTGACGACGCCGGCCCAGCTGGAGTGCTTCATGACGGCGCTTGCCTGGCCGTAGTACCAGTACCTGGTGGTGGACAGAAGCGTGCCCTTCTTGGCGGTGCCATCTTTGGTGAGGAGAAGCTTGGACCCGGTTTTGGCGGTCTCGATGGTGCCCTGGTCGAGGGTGAAGGGTGCCTGGTTGGGATCGCCGCGGTAGGCCGAGGCGGGGACCCAGGGTTTGGCGTTGTTGGTGAACGAGATGGTCTGCGGCTTGCACTTGGGCATGGGCTTGCACGATGACGGCTGGAAGGAGGCGGTGGGGTCGCAGGTGCCGAGGCAGTGGTCGATCGAGGTGCCACAGTAGCCGTACGACGAACAGCACGGAGCAGCCGCGCCGCACTTGGAGGTGGCAGAGCACTGCTGGGCGTCGGCGTGGGCAGTGAGCGCAGCAAGCGCCGCCAGCGAGACGAGTACGAGCGAGGTGATAGGCTTCGAGACCATCTTGAAACGCTCGAGGAGGTGGAGATGGGGTAGGGAGGGGGAGATGTATGCGGGGACAAAGGATCTATGTATAGCAAACTGGAGGACCGGGTCGGGAGGGCCTGTTCGCACAGGCTGTCCAGACAAGCAGCGGCGTTGTTGCGCCATGGCGTCTCTGAGATCGACTGCAGAGGGGGTGAAGGATGCCCAGACGGGCTTGGCGGGCAAGAGGCGCATCTCGTCGATCCTTCTTGGCTGTTTTGGCAGCTGTCCGTCGCATGGCAGGCTCGGAGCAGGACTAGGCGAGACAGGATCTGCGCACCGACCGGCGGTCAAAGGGTCGCACCACGAGAAGCACACAAGGCCAAGGCCAAGGCCAAGGTTAAGGTCCTGCGTCTCAGCTTGCCGAGGCTGCACGAAAGCAAGAGCCAAACGGTGGTTGCGAAGAACCTTCTTTTGGCGCGGCCCTCTCGACTGAGCCTCAGTCGGAGTTGGTCCAGCAGCCGAGAAGGTGCAGCACCAAGCCCGAGCGCCCCTTCCCACCGATCCACTGCCAAATCACAAAATCCAAAGTCACACAATCACAAAATCACAACAACACCAGCTTTTGAGGGGGCCAAATTTGTGAGACAGCGCGACCTAACACTTCCCAAATCTGCCTCCACATCTCTTGATCTCAATCGCGCTTTCGTTGCTACGACCCTTCTTCGTCCCCGACATCCTGCCTGGCTCTCCCCAACACAGGCACACACAGCCATGGACCACAACTACTGGAACGTCGACGACTTTCTCGCCGACTCGCAGAAGCTTCCATGCACATTCAACGTCGACGTGCCCAACATGGGCCAGATCCAGTCCAACGGCGAACGCGACGTCAAGGCGCTCTCACGCGTCGAACTCCCCTTCTGGCTCGCCGAGCTCATGGCTTTGAAGTGAGTGCCGCCTCGCCTCATCACAACGACCTACAACGTACTCATCTTCTCTCTCGCAATGCTACAGTAATATCGTCTCGATCAGCAAGCCAAAAGCGTATTCCAACCGCGTCAAGGCGGCGCTCGATGCCAACCCCACTTCAGTGCAGTTGCGACACCAGAACATTCATTGGTACGCGCTTGGTGCGCGTCTCGCCCAGCTGTAAGTGCTTTGCACCACCCTCGTGTATCGCATCCTGATCCGGAGCTTGCTGACTCTGAGCGTGTGCTCTGATCTTTTGGCGCGCGGCAGTATGGACGATGACGACAGCGAGATGCAGGTGCTCTCCAAGGCGTATGTCGGCAGGATAGCGCACATCTTTCAGCAGTCGCAGCACCTTGCCACTTCCTCCGCAGGCTCAGCAGCTGCTGCCAACGCCGATGCTAATCAGCGAGGCTTTGCGTCGGCACAGGCGATTGCCGCCATGGTCTCCGATGGGCCCACGCTCGGCATGAGCGCAGGAAGCGCAATGAGCGCCGAAGTCACCGAGTTCCTCCAGGGCCTCGACGAGTCTGAGCGCATGCTCCTACGCAACGGCCAGGAGGGCGCGCGCATGATGCGAGAGTTCCTCGCCAACCATCGTTGACCCTATGCGTTTTCCAGGACACTCAGTCGCCACTCTCGGCCTGGTTGCATGTACTTTTAGCCCTTTTCTCTACAACTTGTAACACTATCACTGTCATTGTTCCATCATCTCGACGCCTTCATCGAGTGTGCGTGTCGGTCCGAGTGCCTCAAAGGTGAATCGAGCAGAGATGTGTGTTCGAGGTGGGAGCCGTGCAGAGCTGCACTCAACGCGTCACGTCGCACGCGAGCCGCCGCTGCCGACATCGAGTTGGTGTCTCCGCTCCCATTTCAGGGTCCAGCAAATTGCGCGCAAGAAGCCCCACCTCCCCACCACCACCACCCTCGCAACTCTCCCCGACCATACTACCGACATACATGGCGGCTCCCTGGACATGGAGGCTCGATCCTTCCTCTGGCTCCGCATCAGTGCTGGGACCTTCTCCTTCCACCATTGCCGTCAGTGCTGATCCGCTCTCGGCACTGGCGCAATCGACCGAGACCGCATCGGCTGACGACATTGTTTGGCACGACTTCGGCCCCCCACCACGCCCCACATCCGCACGGCAAGCACGCAAAAGAGCAAGACTGAATCGCTTCGACTCTGACGATGACGAGAATTTCGATCAGACCCTGCGCACAGAGCCAAGTAGCCACGATCACGCCGATGCTGTTCCTGGTCCGGTGGCTGAGCTTGACGCCCAAGAGGCTCGAGAGGACGACGAAAATGCCGGATTGGCGAGCACTTGCAGCTCGGACTCGGAATCCAACGACGAGGATCCTCCGCTCCGCGAGCCGCAAGCAAGCCAGTCTTGCTCTCTGCAGCTCGAGACTCGCAAGCACCCCGAGATCTCTTTACAAAAAGCACGTAAATCCACACGGACCAACTCGGAAGATGCCTTTGCCGAGTCTACACGACTCATGGCGCACACCATCTACACGTACAGCCTTGCTGATGAGGCAAAGCGTCCCGAGAACACAGACCCGCCATCACCACTGACGTACAAAGAGACGGTGCGACTCGTGCGTCTCATCGCCATGATCTTTCGCTTTCCAAAGCCGACTCGACGTGTCAGTCGGCGACACACCGACTCGGCCGACATCGCCTCCCCGCCTTCATCGAGCCAGTCCACTCCCACACCAGCTGTCAAGGACGAAAGTGACGATGAAAAGTTCAAGATCGAGCTCAAGCCCAAGTACCTTTCGTCAGCCTCGGATGGTGGGTCGCGCAGGCCGCGGATGCTGGCGAGGGTGCATCCGGAAGATACGCGTGTGGATTCGGCGGCGGTGCTGAAAATGCTGGCGCTCGTGCCGTCTGTGCTGCCGGCGCGCGTGGGGGATGCTGCGTGGATCGTGAACCTTGCCGTGCGTGCACGCCGCGACGAGTACGGCAACATTCTACTTCCTGACAGCGTCTACGCTTCTGCTCAGCCCGCAGACACCCACACGGGCAGCACAACTTGCAAGGGGGAGAATGAGGGGCCGCAGAAGATCACACGCTCGCTCGTGCACAAGCTCGGCAGGGAGGCACCAGCCATCCCCCTGCCCCAGTTCTGGCGTCGTCGTTCGCCCTCCGCATCCGCAACGCACGAGTCCGATTGCAAAGAGCACAACGCCCAAGAACGGCCACTTCCAAACGCCCAGGCAAACGTGGAGACACTCACTACCTCTGCGGCCGAGACGCAGCAAGATGCCGCTGCTGCAGAGGAAAGCGGAGAGCGTGCGGTCAATCTGTCCAGGCTGCTTGCCGATCGCATGCGTGAAAAGCGCCAGGCCAAAACGCTGCTGCTACGCACCCACCCTACACTGCGCAAACGACGCCCTGCCCAAACGTCGAGCCAAGCAGTGCAGCACGATGCAGAGAACGAGGCGGATGCACTCACCGCCGCCAACACCGCAGCCAATGCCCTCTCGCACTCACAGCTACCACTGCCCGACCATGTAGAGTAGTCCCACCGAACAACATCAGGACCAGCTGGCTTTGTCCGTGACGATCGTCAGGTGTGATTTGACAGATGCTCACCGTGCGAATCAACCAAAAAAAAAAAA